TYYWWTTTTTTTTTTTTAATGCTTTGCCAATGTTACCTCTGTGGGCTAACTTTATCCTAAGTATAAGATAGTAGAAGTTGTGCTGGTGACATTTTTATCCTGCAGTCTGCAGTGGACTGTCTGGCAAAGCAATGCAAAGAAGAATTTAGAGAGTAAAGAAGCTGAAAGGGCAATAGCAGACTCCTAACTTTTGCAACTAGGATTTTATCCTGGGTATATTTGAATTTTGTCAAAAGATGGCAGGCCAGATTTGCATCTGTGGTTGATCTGTTTGCAGAGGATATTAACACCCTCTTAAATAATCAAAGCTAGTTTAAGTGGAGGTTAAAAAGTTATTGCAGCCTTTAGATAAAGTAATTTACATAGCAATCTTTTCAGCCTTGGAACCATTAGACAGTTGTCTGGATAAATATATTTTCACATATGTAACTGCTAAAGTAAAGGTCACAGCACAAGCATTGTGATGTAGAATGTCAAGAATATCAGATGTATTTGGAACTTTCTTTAGAAAATTTAGTTCCATGAAAATTAACACTTCAGAAAAAATAATTTCCCAGCTATATGCTTCATATTATTTGAAAAGGTATCTATTTTCTCTTAAATCAATGTAATTATATCACCAAAAGTAATAAGAACAAATATAATTAATTTCCTGCACCAGCAACTCCATGTTTATACTCTGAGAATATATTTGTATTATAAGTCCATCTTCTGTTAACATTATTATTTCTATAAATATTAACTCCTGGAGTGAAATATTTTTAGCCTATATACACATGGACATTCTTGCATTATCTTAACATAAAATCAAAGCCAGCATTTTTCTCCATTGGCTCTGTAATGGCCTCTAAAATCCTACTATATTATGAAAACCACACATTCCCTATTCTCTTGTTCTGCCAACAGCCTCTGGGATTGAGACTGCAGAGAACACACACATCAAATAATTAATTCTTTTTTTTTCTGTTGAATTCATTGTGTGCTGAGTAACAAGAATGAGAGTTTTCACTGTGGAAATTCATGAAGGGCAAAAAAAAAATGATCCCTTACTATCGTAATGACATCATTTGGTTGAAGAATGACAAATTTAAGTAATAGAACCTCAAAAGTATAGTGGCACAACTAAATTTTAAATCTGTGAGAAGCCAGTACCAAAGCTTTATGTACATGTACATAACATATACCAAAAGTAGGTTGCTCCATTCCATTCATTTAAGTCATTTGAAACATATCTTGCATTCTATATATATGCAGGCCACACTTTGAGTTGACATAATTTGGCACATCTCCATAAACTGCCGTAGAAGTATCCTGACTCACAACAGCAAATGTCCTAGATCTCCTAAGCCAAACTTGAGTAAATGTAAAATAATAAATAGCTAAGCTATTTATTAAAGTAATTGAAAAACAAAGAAAGGGAAAAAAAATACCTCAGAAAAATAGACTTACATCTGTCTCCCTATATCTTGCTAACTGCAGACCCACTTGGGATCCCTTGTCCTAGCTGTCTTATGGTCCATAAGAGACCAGAAGGAAGAACTCACAGTGTTCCTGGAACAGCCTGAGATTAGATGGACCCTACACTTTCACTAATCATCAAAATCAATTTGGATTTGGCAGGTGTATTCCAAAAAAATCTTCTCTGTGAGAAAAAATCTTCAAAGTTTTCTAAACTGTACCTTCTGCAGTGTTTGTGTATAAATCCGTTGCATTCTTAGAAGAAGAAAGMATATGTCATTACAATCTGAGAAATACAAAGCAGGTACAAGTCTGAATAAAATTATTCTGCTATGTGAAATTGCACATATCACAGAATTTTGGGGAAATCTGTGTAGGTATTAATAATTATTCTTATCATAATAGTAATAATAATAAATTCCCAATAGAGACAAAAATTACAATCCACCAAAATACACAGACTGTTGTTATTATGAAGGCTACTCATTGGTGAAAAAAATTAGGACCAAACATGAGAATCTGGAGTTTCATGCAGGATTTTGAGATTCTGAAAAAACTGATAAGGCCTGGGACAAGGTGCACATAGTTACTTCAGCCCTGCATAGAGTCCCGCAGGACCTAGATCTGAAGTCCTCCTCCCATATCAGACTGTTTTCACTCAGTCAACTGAGTCATCTAGGTCGTTTAAGGACATGTCAACATCATCCAGTGGAGCATAGCTGAGAGATAACCATACAAGTTGAGGCTAAACTAGCCCCAGCGGTGCAGCTTCAGAGCCACAGCAGCAGAGCAGCTAATAGTTCCCTGGGTGACTATTAGACACACATAATTATCTCAGACACAATGCTGCTCTAATAGGTCCGTACTGCTCTCAGAGACGGAGCCAGCACCTATGCCAAGCATTGCAGTGCACTGTGTGGACATCCCTGCCTGCTCAGATCTGGCTCAGGAGCTTCTCTAGTTTATACATGTCAGTTTAGAAAGGAACATGATGTTGCTCTGTTGCTTGGCAGACAGATTTAAGCAGTTTGTAATCCCTGCTTTTCTACTGTATCTACCTGCCAGGGATTGGCTGTTTTCTCTTTATAGACCAACACATCACCACAGAAATTCTGTCTATGGCACATATTTAGTCTGATACTGAGTATGTATCTGTACTGATTCATATTCATCATAAAAGCCTTAAGTGACATATAATAAATGCATGAGGCTAGTATTAGTCCTTTTGGGGGAAGAGAATGGTGCCAAATGAGGCATATGTAGGGAAAAAAAATCCTCTCTTTTGTTTTTTCCTCCTTTCCAAGCATTGTCATATACATGGATGAAAAGGGCAGGAAAAATCTGCTATGTTCATTTGTTGTGTCATTTACCTGCAACTGGTATTTATCAACACCATTTTCTCAGCATGCAAGCAGACACTTCTCCAGCATGCACTTGGAGAGCACAGAAGGGGAAACAAGAGTGCAAGAGGAAAATGTAAAAGAAAAATGTGGTAAGATGTGACAAAACCAGCAATTCTATAAAGTCACTTGAAGCCGGATAACAGCTTCAGGTAGACCTAGCCTCTACAGACCTCATAAGGAGTGTGGTSAGAGAACAGCCAGGCAGGTGACACAGAGAACTCCCCTACACGTTAATCTGCACTGAAAATAGTCACTACTGATGGAGGACAAGCAAGCTTTTTTTTTTTTTTTTTATCCCATTTTTGTTAGGTGAGGATGTTTTAGCTCTTGTGAGCAAAGTTCTGAAATGTGTTTTCTTTCCTTGGGATGGAGTGCTGATCCATTCCAGCTACTGAGGTGTCCTCTCTTCCTCTCTTTTGAAAGGAGCAACCAATTCCCACTTTGCTTTGAAAGGTTAATTTTCTTCTGTAATCATAATTATGCTAGGAAAGGTTGATGTGACAGAGGAAAAATTAGTCCGATATTTTCAGTCTACAGTGTGTACTCATTCAGTACATGAGAGCATCTCTTTATCTATGAGCTTCCTTGCCTGCTGATTCTATAAAAGGACCCCCTTGCTTTTTGAATTAGCCTACAATCAGGCAAAAGGTTAACGATTCAATCAGGTTGTTTATCTGGGGCTTCTAGCACATGGAAAGCATCCTTAAAAGGGTTCAATCCTGCAGCTCTTATCCATGAGCTTCAAAGCTCTGTTTTAAAAGGGTAAATGAAGTATGGGTTCTCAGAGTCAAAAAATGCAGCATCCAGTAGAAACTCTCATCCCAGTGGTGATGCTAAATCACATCTGAACTGAAAAGTCAAACATGGATCTAAATTTCCCTTTAAACTGTATCAAGAGTGAAATGGCTCCATGATTTGGCATAGAATAGTTTTTAATAATGATCAGTAATGAGAACAGGCTCTGTTCATTATTTCATAGAATCACAGGAGGGTTGAGGTTGGAAGGGGCCTCTGGAGATCATCTAGTCCAACCCCCCTGCTCAAGCAGGGACATCTAGAGCACATTGGACAGAATCACATACAGTCAGGTTTTGAATACATCCAAAGAAGGAGACTGCACAGCCTTTCTGGGCAGCCTGTTCCACTGCTGTGTCACYCTGACAGTCAAGAAGTTCTTCCTCATGTTCAGATGAATCTTCCTTTGCTATTTCCCTCTTTCTGTAACTATTATCGTGACTAAAGTAGTCCATGAGATTGTTAGTGAAATTATTTTTTTCACAATTTGAGAGATGAAGAACTCACCTTAAAAGTCTGTAGAATATATAYATAGCATGAACATGAATATGCATGGTAACATCTGCATTGTGAGATTTCACACTGTCTCAGTTCATACATGAGTAGGTCAGTGCTTGAGAGCTTTCTCCTTTCCACAGGAAAAYGACATCATAACTAACAAATTTTTCAAACACAGAGCTACCTCAAAATACAACTTGTCCATTTTCATTTTTGATTCTGGGTGTCACTTTGCCTGGATCACACTGAAACATTTGTCTTCTAGCTAGAGTCATTGTAAGAATTTGGCTGATTGGCCTCAGGAGGATGAAATCTGGTGGATTCTGGGTAAGGTTGAAAATTTTCTCTTCCAGCAGCTAGAATTAAGAACCAAGGGTCACTGTCTACAGTGTTGTGCACTGGTAGGGAAGGATTATACCTTCCGATACAGTTATACCAGTTGACACCATCTGGCAACCTAGTGCAGAGTGAGGATACAGCTTACCCAGACTTTAGAGATGAGATTCAGCTATAAATGTACATATAATTTTACATGTTTGCAGTATCTGTGTCTTTACATCAGCCAGATATCTGAATTCCCATTAGAGTCAGTGGAGATTTGAGGTTGTTCACATAAAGAAGTTTAGTAGCAATTGAGGTACTCTGAATGTCTGTAGGGATCTATGAGATATGTCACGTATTTTATTACAGATATGCACTGTTCTGAGGAGAGGTAGGATGCACCAGGACAAGTTACTGGGAAAGGTGGTACTCGATCAGGAAATGACTTGCAGAATCAGGCCAAGTTTCTGGCTGGGAAGCAGGGCCCTCATCCTGCCCTAGTGAAATAAGCTTAAAACTCTGGCACTCACCAGAGTGTGGGGATCTGAAAATAATTATTTTCAAGTTTTTCATGGATCGCTAATTCTGAGATATGCCTCCTTCCTGCAAGGGACCAGGTAACTCCTGTGCTTGGAGGCACTGGGATTTGTGTCAGCCTGCCCTTCATATGCCCATTGAAAGCCAAATCTGTGTCATCGTTAGCTCCAGTTCCTTCAAAGGAAATRATTTTAACTGAAAGATCTTTCCATAGGATACTCTGCCTGTTGTTGTGTTTTTATGCATAACTTCTTATCTGTTCTTGATTATACCAGAGGAGGGTTATGAATATTTATGGTTGGAATTTATAATTTAATGCTCTGCCTTTTCTGCTGATTAATTCAAGGACACTTCACTTCTTAATACATCAGGCTCCTGGAGAAAACATTTTCTCCTGGACACCTAATTTGAATCTTGAATATTTATCCACAACCAAGAGTCAAAGTCAGATTCCTGTCCTCACAGGCAGCTTCACCCAGGGTGCAGCAGCATGTACAGGATTGCCTGAGTTCCTCAAAGACARGCAATCTGAGTCCATGTAACAACAATAACCGAAGTAGTGTAAGGTGTGTTTGTCTTCAAGAAGAATGCATAATTCAGTAGTGTCATTGCCATAACGTCAGATGATGACAAGGAAGACATTTGCCTTTTTTTTCCTTTTTTTTTTTTTTTAATCTTTGAGAGTAAAAGAGGTGAAGAGACAAATATTCACCTACTTCTTCACTCTGKGCTATAGTGACCTTTCTCCTGTTTCCCTTCATTTCCCTTTTATAATCTGGTTGGCTTCATACAAATAATAACACATGAAAGAGCAGAGACTTGGCTTCCAAAGATTGCTATGCTGCAATCACAAGCTAATAAAACTGAGCCAAAAAAGAATAAATATAATAATTCTTCCAAAAAATGCCATATGCCTCTGTCTTAAAAGGTTTAGAAAATAACCTATGGATATTGAAATGTATGACATGCTACAATGCCAAATATTTTATATTTAATCACTTTTCTTGTTGTCCAAAAATCATTCTTCCTATTGTTTGAAGGACTGGTCACAGAAACCAGGTACACCTATCTGCTGCACAGGCAGCCTGCTGCCTTTCACAGGCAAATATTTTTAACTTAAAATACAATGGATATACTTATAATATTTGAAAGATCCCACTTACTTGAGAAAGCTCACGTTCAAATTTCTCCGTAAGTGTTGTAGCTATCTTTTCGAGTACTTCAACCTTCTGCACCGGAAAGGTGGTATCTGGCAAGTACACAGAGCACTGACAAGTTCCATGGTCATCCAGAGAGCCAGACACATTGGCAAATAGCTGCAAAAAGAAGTTGATAGGGATAAAAATAAAAGTTAATATTCTTAAATATTCTTGGAATCAGTGGCTAATGTGCATAAGAATTGGAGCTGTTACAATCCCAAGATCAACAACTTTGCTACCTGAGTTTTTTACTTCTTTTTTTTAACCTTTCTTTTCCCAAGGAATTCAAAATATCTTACAGTTTTTATGATTGAGCCTTACAAGGTTTTCTGGAAATAGTTAAATATTGTCGTATAGATTAGCAAAACAGAAACATATATACTCCTTACTTTCCCAATCTTACAAATAGTGTTCCTGAAATGATGATATAAATTTCACCCCAAATGGAAAAACATAAATATCAGGAAAAAAACAACATAGTTACTTGGATCTTATAGTTACTGTTATGTTGAACTGATCAGCTAGTCATCTCCATCCATAGAGAAAGGTACCTTAAAGAAATTCACCAAAATATATCTACTAGTAGGAGTGAAAAGTCTTAAAAAGAAGAATTCTTTTTTTGAAACTTTTCAACTAGCCCTAGTAAATAATTGTATGAATTTAGTTATAAAGCATGGAAGTTATATGACAAGTCAAAGAATTAAATATATGTGCTCAGCCTAAGATAGGTAGAGATGATTCTCTTGCTGTAGAATATTGCTTACAGCAGCCACCCATCACAGCTTGCACAGCCAAGCTTGCGGACGCTTTGCAGATCTATTGACCATGCCATTAACATGAACCATCTTGTCCAGGCTATACTGAAAGCATCATCTTTAGAGCAATGTCTTATGTACAGAAAGGTCAGGSCTGGCAGTTCAGATATTCAGATTCATGATCTTGCCATAATTTACAGCCAAATCACATCATTCCCTATACACTGGGCTGACTGCAGAGTGTGTTGGGGGCACTGAAGTAGTTCACTTCTGTTTGTACATATGAAGTTCACCCAGTTCAGAAACCTGTCAGGAATTTATTAATAAAGATATTTGTTTGATGTTACTTTAAAATATTCCACACATACTTCAATGCAGCTCTGTTTTTTAAAGCTACAGAACTGCTCTTTAGATACAATCCTTTCTACAACCTCTCCTCCCGCCTTGCATAAATCTCACTGTTATTCATGTGTTTTTTCCTCTCCAAACTAACTAAGCAAGCACTAAAACTATCTATTGAAAGCAGAAATATCTTGCTTTTCTTCTCTTGCTTTTTCACAGCAATTTCAGCTGACTTCCTGACCATCAAACCAGCCCAGAGCACACAGTCGGGGCTGGCCTCAAAGCCTGCAAGGAGAAGAGCAGCAAGCAGGAATGATCCAAGCTTGCCCTTCTGGCAATCTCTTCGGTAGAGCCACAGCAAACAGCACACATCCACTTCTGAGCAAAACACAAGTGAACTCATGCAAGGAAGTTTTATTTGTGTTATTCAGGCACCATCAGCCTTAAAACTTTACTCAAGGCCAGATTCCTATAGATACTTAGTATGAAGGAAAGCAGAGCGATATCCACTGGGACTGCAGAGCGTCCCAGCACACAGCTTCCATTGATTTCTCTGGCAGTTGAGTTACCAAGGCACTTCTGAATATTCCACTGAGAATATACTGTATACTATTTCTAAGTTCCTAAGTGCCTTTAAAGATCTGCCTGTTTGTACCAAGATTACTATGAGAGACTCCCGAGTAATTTAGGTGTTGCTGCATAATCAGTTCTCTGAGTAGGGGCATTGCAGGGCATGGCATGTGGCACGGCAATAAGGATACCAGAAAAATAAACATGGCTTAGAGAGTATACATAACCTCTGTAAGGCATTTATTTGTACTGACATGCCGTTTTGTGTGGAAATGTTGTTTGATATTCTATCCCTTCCATGCAGAGCACATACAATATATGTCTCTGCGAAGAGGTAGTACACTATACATAGCATAGTGCAGTATATGTTATACATATGTGCATGGTTGCATGTATAGTATGAATTATTGTTTGTGTTGTGTGCTCTAGTATAAACTAGTTTTGACTATGTCATCTAGCCATCGTTGTACCTAGGGATATCATGTTTATTCCACATGTTAAAAAAGACATTCATATATGTATGAAAACGGTCACCTAAAAAGTTCTCCACCACAAAATAATTACACTTAAGCATTTAAATTCCTTTTTTTTTTTTTTTTAAAAAAAAAAGTAAAAAAAAAAAAAAAGTAATAATTCAACATTTCTGTTACAACAGAGCCTGGAGTTGAAGGCAGGGCTTCACTGCAGCAAGTGCTGTATATATCCAAACCAAGAGATGCTCCTTCCACAAAGGAGCATCTGCTCCTGGCAGGCAGAATGGCTTCCACTCTCCCATTGACATTACAAACACTGGGATCATGGTGTTGATGGAGTCAAGAAGCACTTTTTAATTAAGAGTCCCTTGGGCCAGTAAGTCCTCCAGTCAAAATATAACACCAGTTAAAAGACTACAATGCAATCAAAATGTCTTTCCTCATTCCATATAAAAATGCACAAAATGGGCTACTTTTTATTGTTGTTGGAGTTATATTTTTTTAAGTTTAATAAGATACACTCAAAGTTTAAAAGACAGCAAACTGTCCTAGCCTATAGCAAGAACTTGACAGCAGCATTTCCCTCTCTAATATTAAACTGTCACAAATAAGTATTTCTGAGACTATGAGAAATATTCCTTTTCCACATCCTCTCAATTTAAGAAGTGAGAAAGGGCCACCGTCTTCTGAAGACTGGGGCATTTATTCAGCTGTCTAAATAGGTACTTAGGGTTAAATCCTCAAAACAGCCTAGTCATTTCAGTGCTTTAATTTCCAGTCACCATTCACCCCAGTGGCATTCACAGCTCAGACTAGCTGTTCACTTTTCCTAAATCAAAGAATGGGATTCACAGAAAATCACAGCAGAGAGGGGAGCCACCTCAGCTGGACAAGGAGAAAGACGAAGTTTTGATCCCACTGCTGAGACCCACAGAGGACTCAACTCCTTTTAACTTCCCAAGCACTCCAATAGAAGCAGACATTAACCAAGACTTCTGTCTCACACACGAGGTGCCTCCATGTAACCCAGGTGCTACATTGGGCTAGTCTGGAAGATGAAGATCTGCTGCCAAGCTGCCCAGCCCTTCAGATGTGATTTGGAGCTGTGCATTGGGCAAATTCTGCTCCTGACACTGGCTTGGAGGGCTACTCAGATTAAGTGTGTCCTGTTGAATTTACTCCAAAACGGAAATGTTATTAATCAGTTTTTGGCAGTGAGAAGGGAAGAAAATCCATACTGAATTCCACAATCCCTGGGCTTGAGCACTGTCCCCAAAGGCATGGAAATCAGATTCAAGTCCCTCTATCAGCAGTTTAATAATATTTGAGCTCAGTGGAACATGGGGATCCCATGAATCTCTCACCCCAGCCGGCAGGACTCCAGTGGAAACTTCTCAGAAGTGACAAAATATGTTTTTAAGGTCCTCCTCCAGTCCACATGAGAGGATGAGAAGATGGGGTCCAAAATACATCTCCCACTTTCTCCAGAAAGGCTATAAATCCTGAGCTTTTTGGTGCATTGCTGTCAAATTCCCACGGTCCCAGCTGTTTCATGTCTGAGATCCAATGCTATAGTCATGAAGGCAACAAAAGAGCTTTGGATGTGACAYGAGAGCAGCAGTGATGATTCTGAGAATTCACTACCACCTAAATCCTGGATTCACAACAACTAAGTGCTTTTCTTGCCTCAGGATTAAATCTCTAAGGGACTGTGTAGAAACACAGGCTGGGTCTCTAAGGGACTGCATAGAAAAAAAAAAATAAAAAAGAAACACAGAACACATCTTCCCAATTTTCTGAACCTAACAACAGTATGTAATGGCCATACCTTTGGAGTAGTATACAAGTGGCTAGTCGTCTTGCTAGGCTGAGTCAGATGCTGAAGTGATGTACTGAGAAGAGGGATCTGAAAATTAAATGAAAGTCTCCTTCAGCGTGAACTCCCACATGCAGCACTAACCCTTCCCCAAGAGTAAGCCCTCATCATGCAATGCTGAACAGCTTTGATTTTATTATGGGAGTCATCCCCAGGAACTCTACTGATAATGTATTGTTTCTTCAGGCATAATGTGACTTCTTAGGCACCTTTTCCCCAAGGAAAGCTTCATGTAATCAGTGGATGTCTGGCATTGCTCTGCCTGCCCAAGAGATGTGAGCTGGAGCTCTCATTGATAATCAAGGACAGATGTCATTTTCTCCTAGATTGACCTAGGAGATTTTATGTAATAAAAATATGTATATACCCTTTAGAGGTCAAATATGGCTGGCTTCTGCCTTCCTACCACGGAGACAAGAGCAGCTGTCACCCCAATGTTGTGCTGTGTGTCCCCAAAAGGGATACACTCTGTTCCCCTCAGCATGTAGAGGATGGTATGATGCAGCCCAGGGGACCCACAGTGGGGATCCATCAAAATTTGTAGGAAAAAGCAACTTTGGCAAGTGAGAGTGGTGTGAGAAACCAACCATGAAGCTGGCTTCCTCCACACCAGGGTCCCCATCCCACACTGGTCCTTCTGCATTCTGCAAGTTCCAGCTCCCACAGCCAGAGCTGCATTGCTGAGGAGCTCCTAACAGAGCCAGGGCCAGCAGGGAGCTCCAAATGGCCAGCAAGGGAGCTGCTCAGCTAAAGGACGTGGAGTAAATAAGCTTTTGTGTGACAGCTTGCCAAACACTGCCATTTGAACAACCATTTGTGCTTTCGAATGATTACACTGCGCGGGTGGGGTTAATGGCAATTAGCAGCAGCGGRGCAGAGAGCATCACAAATCGCATAAATTACACAGGCCAGGATGTAGCTTAAAGCTGAAACCCAATTAGGAAAAAATATCTCCCATTTTAAGCTTCCTGTTCCCAGCTTATCACCACWTATTACTTACACCTCCACTTTGGCTTTTACAGATGTTTCTTGCCCCAAAAAAATACATCTTCTAGATGCTGGCTTCACTGCCTTCATTCACAGCAATCTCAAAGTCACTCAAACTTCAAAACATATTACTAAGGGAATTCTTTTTTTTTTTTTTTTTTTTCTGGCTGATGATTAAACTAGTCAAATCAGAAACCCTCCTTTGGAGTTAAATTGGGAGTTTCCCTAATTTTCAGCTAAAAAAAATATTAAAAGGCAGTCACTTTGAGTCAACTAAGGCAAAATATTTTGGTTCATTTATGAATGCTTTTAAGTTATTTGCAAACTCCTTCTTCTGACAATTTAGCACAGTTTGAATTTTTTTAAAAGTGAGGCAGTATATACAGTAAAAAAAAATCTCTTCTTAATGCCTTTAAAAAAAAGAAATTTGATTTTATCTTTTTCCCTTCTCCTCTCCTYCCTGCCTTTTTGTTTGGTTGATTCTTTTTGCTTGATAGCTTTGATTAGAACTTCTCCCTTAAAAAATCAGACACAGTTTTACCCAGAGGAAGGAGAGCACCCCACTAAATCTACCCAGCATGGCTTTAATGGACCTAGTCACAAAGTATGACAGCAGTCCTGTAACTGGGGAAGCCCCCTCCTCCTAGCTCCTTACACATCAAAGATACGGATCCTTTCCTGTTATAAGCCTTTGCTAATTAATTAGAAGCTGCACAGAGCATTTAATATCCACTCAGATCCTCAATGGGAGTTACGTTCATCTAACCAAAGGCAGAATTTGACTGATTTTAAACCTGTGCCTCATTTTTACTTTTTTTAGCCAGTCCCCATTCATTAATTGAGGGAGGATGAAGAAGTACTTTAAAGTTTCTCCATGCATAGATCTCAATATTTCCCTAATAATTCTCCAGTAATCTTAAAGTATTTTTCACTAAGTTGAATAAGAAGAAATGAAGGCACCTAGGGTAAGGCTATGAGACCCACAACTCACCTCTTGTGTTGATGCCACTGTGGTAGTAGCCTGTGCTACCATGCTTTGCATCAGGAGCAGCACAGTCACCTTCATGTTCTTYATCTTCTCAGCCAACAGATGTGACAGCAAAGAGGCAAGGGAGATCTCTTATAGTACAGTCTGGGGATTTCCCCATCCAAATATTGAGGAACTTGCCTTGTGTTTTTTCAGTCGGTTTTGGACAATTGATGTCATGAAGTCATGTATTGATAGCTAAACTATTATCGTACAAATATTATCTGCATTTTCTCACAGTCAAAAATTAACTACTATTCAGTTCCCTAACAAAAAAGCTTTTTTTGTACTGGTATAGTATCTAATCTCAATCTTGGGTATGCAGGAGATTATGTTCTTATTTGCCAGGGGAGGTAAACACACCTTTCCTCTTACTGTGACRCAATCATAAAAATTCTCATAGATTCATTCTAAAACATATAGACRATATCAGTGTGGATGAACTTTCTTCCTTCCTACAGGTGCAGAGAAGGACGGGGCAGGTTAAACTTTTCACACACCAGAAACATCCTTCCCGAATTCCCAAGGTTAAAAGGCCTTTCACTAGAAGTAAAATAGATAGGAATCTCTACAGTTTTGCAGTTTCCTCGGTTCTCATATAGCACAGATGGCATGCAAATAGATTATGTCTTCCCACTTGCCTCCTAATAAGATCATATTCTGTACCCTATCACTGTGTACCCATTAACACTTGCTCACTTGCTCACTTTCTCCCTCCTTGGACCCAAATGCTGGCTGACCAAAGTGATTTACTGCCATGTCTCTAAAGCACTGAGCCAGAGAGAGGAAAAAAAGGTTGCTGGCAATATGTAATGTGGTCCCCACACTGCCCAGCAGCAGTCCAGAGGTACAACCTCTTTCCAATCTCTTGATATAAGATGCCAAAGGCCTTCTCATGTGGCAGGCCATCATACTACCTTGGATGTCGGAAGGACACTGGAGAGATCTGTTTCACCTAAAATAATTTCAGCTACAGCAAATCTGTGCAGGATCATTGAAGGTGTTATCATTAMCTTCACCTCTTCATCTTCCTCCCTAACACTGTGTCCTACTTTGTAAGGGCAGGCAGGTAGAGATTTGCTGCAGTTCCTAAGGCATTCAGCCCTCCACACAATTTGCCAGTTTACAACAAGCTTCCAGCTTCAGCTGCAGTGAAGCCATCTGTGAGCCCCCATCCTGTGAAAGAGAGGTGAAAATCACTCTCCAGAACTCTTTGGATCACTGAAAAATTACCTTGGCAWTTGGGAAGAAGGTTCCAGCTGTGTTTAACAGGATGGTCATTTCCGAGCACTTGTAAAGGAAGCCAAGAAACTCCTGGACTAAAACAAATCCCCTATCCTTTCCCGTGCCAGTGGCTGTATAGTCAATATATTGTTTTCCATTTCCTTCTTCATCTTGTCAGGCCTCTTCTTCCTATTGGGCTAGAAGCAAATGGCTGCAGTTTTATGTAAGCAAAGAAAGAGACTTTCTTTTCATTTGGGTATTAGAGGAAAGCAGTAAAGGCAGAATTCTGAGCCTTCATGATGTTGAGTGCCCAGATCCTACTGCAGTCTTGCACAACGGTCTCCAGGAACAGAGTTGTCCCCAGCTAGCCAAGCCAGGGGACATATTGACCTCATTTAGGGATTTCCCCACCAGCAGAGAGATTTCCCCATGGGTGAGGGAAATTCCCAGTTGTTGTTTCTACAGAACATCCATTCTCTTTACTTTTAKGCCCATTGTGTGGTAGTGCTCATTGCTTGAGTGTGGCATTTCATCCAGCCTTATCTGATAGCTGCTGTAGACATCTCTAAATCTTCTGAAAAAAGAGCATCATTTGATAAGAAACCATCTTCCAGCTCTAAAGGCCTTCTTATATTACCATAGCACTATCGCTTTAACTTGGCAAATGGAAAAGCTGAGGCTTAGGACACATCCATACTAGAAAACTCTTCAGAACTGTAAAGTCTATTTGGGGTAACGTTTTTTTTACCATAGCTTTGCACAAGCATAATCCTCTCTGCAGACTCAAATGCTGGCAGCAGCAGCATTTCTGAGGAGTAGCTCATTTTGTAGGGAATGGATATAATCTGTTCTTGCAAAAACACTTTTGTGGTAGAAGCTGCATGTCCACTGGAGGATTTCATGGTACAGCTAATAATTTAATGAAAGATAGGAAAGCCTTGGAAGAAAAGTAGAGGCTAAGCTCAAAGTATCTGAGCTGTGGAGCCAAAGCAAGAAACCAAATCCAGACCTCTCCTTCCAAAGCAACTGCTCTCCTCAGATATATCGTGACACTTCGAAGGAAATGGAGAGACCAAAGATATAATTGCTATGTATTTGTAAGGGCTGTAGCCTTGAGTGCCTGCCCAAGAGGAGGACACTGGGGCACAATGGGGCAGCAAGATACATATTATCTGCTGCACCTTAAAAAAAACTACTAAGCTCTTTCCAGGAACCCTTGTGCAAAATAACGCACACGTTATTGTTATCTACATTGCRCAACAAGTTACCTCCCAGTTCATTCTCATGCTGTGACATCTTGATCATACATATTACACAAGTTCCACTTCACTCACAGACTCTCTCTTGGAGTGAACTAGCCAATTTCCTCTAAATAAAACCAAGACAAGCCCTGTAAATGAATTGCTTCCAAAAGTAGCAGTGAAGAGAATTGGTTACCTGTCAACTCTAGMTGTTTCTAGCCAGTTCTCTAATTCTATCCCACCAGGTTTTGTGCTGTCAAATATCTACCATATGTCCGCCAGACAAAACCCATCTTACACAAATATTGGTGGGCTGCAACACAAGCTTTTGGTTATTTCTGATGCTCCAAGTGAAAAAGAAAAAAAGGCACATACAGAAAAGTAATGATCATGTCTTCCAGCCAAAGAGACAAGAAAAGATCCAAGGACAAGGGCTGCAATACACGGGTACAAAGGAAACGAGGCTGCTACCCAACTCTGAGCAGCATACAAATAGCCCACTTCACACCACTTTTCCAGAAGAGCAGACATCATYCCCAGGAGAAAATGCACTTAGCAGGATAGATAGACCCTTAAGGGAGAGCCTGATATGGAGAAATATGGAAACCCGTCTGACAGTTCAKCTGCACCTGTGTGCATATAAGCCTGAAAAGAGCAGCGTGCTCMATGCCTTGTCCTCCTAGCAGCTTCTCTGCAGGCTGCAAACTGCTCAGAGGCAGCTGGCTGCTGCACACACAAGCCCGCTGGTCTGGCTAAAGCACCTGGAGCTCTGCAGGCCACAGAGGGGACAAGCCTGGCAGCCCACACAGCCACACTTGCAGGCTCCAGTGCATAGCAGGCAAGAGCAATCCTGAAAGTGGCTTTGGGCAGACAGCACAGACAAGGCTAGTGAGTTTGGAGCCTGGATCTATACACAGGAGAAAATACTGCTTTCTGAGAGCAATAGCGAGAGGCCAGTACTGCAAATTACCCACAAAGTGCAATAGCTTCTCACTATTTTTTTTATTTATTCTTAGATCTCACTTCTGAGAAAAGAAGCAAATATTAGCTGTAATAAAAATTAATCAGTTACCTTAACAATTCTTCTTGTTCTTTTGTTTGCATAGAAATCAATATCCAGAGAAATCTCATTTGTACCCTCCTGGCCTCACAGAGATGACAGGRACTTGCAATTTTCTTTCTAGTCAAGGCATAATGATTAGTAAATAGAAGTATCTTGTTTTAGATATTTGTAATCCTTTCATCTGCAAAATAAGTAAGACTTGCAGTCCTAATTTTAGGAAAATATTTTTTTTTTGTACAGGAAAGCTACACTTATTTAGGAATTTCCACTTAGGAAAAGAGAAAAATACTTCTTTTTATAGAGTGGAGAATCTGCACCTACCAGTACTTCCTTGTTGTGCATACTTAGTCCTCRACTTAGCAGGCAATTCAGGGCAAAGTTCCTTGGGGTCAGGTTTCTTTTTTTTTCAGGAGAAGTAAGATGCCTAAGAACAGTTGCAAAAAGAACATTCATCACTGTCACTGATCACTTAAACATTACATTTCTTACGGCAACAATTATTGTCCTTATTAAACAAAAAATAGGTGATTCAGGTCATCTGCCACCCAAAGCTGCTGGCTTTGGCCGAAGAATTTAGAGTCATATATAACTTGATCACACTTGGTRGTATGAATATAACCTTCTCCTCACTTTTCCATCTGCATATGGAAATGATAGCATTTCCCTGTCTCAAAGACACATTTTGAGATTAAATGCATTAGCAAGAATAAGAGGCACTCAACTATTACATGAGCAGGGACCCCATTAAACATGCAAAAATAAAGGCACATCAAAGGCTATAGCTTCTTTCAGTTGGCTTAGTAGGCCAATGACAGGATAAAGAATTGAATGTAGGTCAGATATCTTGTTTCTTTCTAATTATCAATTAATATATTTATTCCAGATGCTGTGACTTTTTTTCAGATTGTTTCTGAACTGTTCAGTGCACTAACCAGGACAGGTTTATGACTTAGAATTTCTTTTCCTTTTCTTTCTTTCTCTCTTTTTTTTTTTAAGCCTGAAACAGGATTTAATWGTGCTAACCTGACAAAATAGTTCAGACAGAAAGTATTGCACTGCAAGTTACATTTTGCAAGTCTAATGTAGAAGAGTTTCTACTCTTTGCCTGCAGATGCAATAAGACTCAGAACCTCACAGAATCCATATTCCGGCACATTTCGTCCAGCACACTGGATATTGTCAATTTAACAAAGCTTGCCTAAAGCTTATAAAGTCTCCCYTTCCCTTGAAATATGTATTTCTGAAGTAAAGCCAAAGAGACAGAGGGAATATTAATTCAAATTCATCTTATGATACAAGAACATAACAGCTAACACTCCTTTTTTAGAACACGATTGCCCAATTGTTCTTTTTGTGACTAACCAGTTCAGGCTTCTTTGGTTATAGGATCATCATATTGCAAAAKAAGGAAATTACAGTGGGCAGCTCCCTTCAGTAAGATTCTATGTAGCCATTCACATCAAATCTACATCAGATATAGACTTGTTCTGCTTTGTTAGTTCATCACATATTACATATAATTTTTCCCACCAAGTGATTCTCATGCCTATAATGTCATCTGTCATAAAGCCCATCTTTTTGGGTGTCATTATGTAAATAATGAATTTAATTTCTTTATCAATAGGAAGTCAGATTAGTGCTTTGAAAGCCATTCTTACGGGTGATGGATGAACCAAGCAAGTGTACAAGAAATATCAATATCTAGTTTTAAAAATGGTGTTAACGAGGGACAGTCTTAATTTTCCAGGACCATCAGAAAGGGGGATTTTTTGTTTTGTTTTGCTTTGTTTCCTGCAGCAGAACAAGAAACTGAGTRCTGTTTGCAGAGAGGGCAATTTCCTTTGTAGCTTTTAAATTCTGAGCTGTTTGAGCTGTTTAAAATCTGATCCATAAAACCTGAGCTGTTTGAGCTAGCAAACTGAAAAAAAAAATCCATAATGTCCAAAAAGACAGACCTTCACTAAGAAAGATGTAARAGAGAAGGACAGAAAGACAGCAGTATATGCCAAACAGAAGAATGAGCAATTTTTAGCCACAGATCCCATGGTTTGGCAGAAGAATTTGCTATCCTCAGAAACATAGCAGCTTGGAGACTCTTGGATAAATTAATTGAGCTCCACTATAATCTGCCAATGAGTTCAAAGACAAAAGAAACAAAGAAAGTAAAGAAGGGAAAGACAAGAGAAGAAGTTAGAGAGGCTGAGAAAAAAAAAAAAAGAGAGACAGAATACAGACTGGGGACTTTTGTTAAAGAATATTAAAATATTAAAAAGATATGAAAAGTAAACCATAAAGGAGGCATAAGTGCATGCATGAAACTTGCACAGCAGTACTGAAATAAAATGATATGGAGAGTGAGAATGAATTCTCACCAGAGGACACTTAAGAAGAAGAAGCAATAACTGCTTTACTAAAAGAAGAGAGTGAAAACAGCAAACAAAGCATCTTCACACAGCATGATAAAGAAAAGCAGAGAAAACATCTGGGAGAAGGTGGGTGGGAGGACACCAGAGCTAGAAAAGAGGTGTTCCTGTGTCTTCCCAATTATGAGTATGTGTGCAATTATGAAAATATCTATGCCTTCAGAAAGACTTGTCATTCATACATGCATTTTCAGTCCCAGGAAATAGAGGAAAACAGTCTGGACTGGACTGAGTCATTAACTCCAATCATAGCAATTACAGGGAGCTGTATAAGAGAAATTTAAATCAAAACGTTTCTTGAAACACTTGCTTCTTACAAAAACATGTCAG